GGGCGGCGGACTGAGACGCACTGCAGTCCCGCCACCCGGGTCCTCCGTGGCTTTGCTCCATGTCTCCCTGGTCTGCTGGGGGGCCCCCCCAGCAGACCAGGGAGACGCGGAGCAGCTTTTCTTGCCGTGGAGGACGCGGGTAGCGGGACCGCGGCGTTGCACAGCGGTCCTGCCGCCCGCATCCTCCGCGGCGAGAAAAGCCCCATTCATATGTAGGGATCCGACGTAACTCGGGGACCGCCTGTATGTACAGCCCTCCACAGGGCTGGAGCACACAATCTACTAGCCTGGGCTTTCCAGGCTCTGGTGTGCAAGGGAAATATGGAGAGTGTCTTTCGGTCTCTCAGTAGGGGACCACATCAGTGAGGGGCAGGGTGTTTTTTGGGGTGGAGCTTCTCACTTGCTTTATACTTGCTAAAGCAAAGATGAGTTGTATTGATCACCTAAAACATAAGGACTTAAGTAACTTTACTTGTAACTTGAACAATGTGTTTATATTTACTCTTATCAGTGATGAGTTCTCTGAATGTATGAGGTGAAAACCTAGCCCCAGTGAAGTCAATGACAAAAGCTGCATTTATTTAAAAGGGGCCATAATTTCATTCACTGTGTCTGCCAGGACACCGTCATAGAAGTTGCAGAACCAGTCTAAAGCAGTATGATGAGTATGGGAATATGTGCACCACTCTGAAGATCCACTAAAATAATCAATGACTGTACAACTCACTGCCCCCTAAATGTCTTGATTTTGAAAAGCCTTTTAAAAAATTATAAATGTTTTTGGGACTAGGACAAATTTTAAAATTCTCTGCATGTAAGAGATGGGACTTTCCCCTTGCAATCCGTTCAATGGAATTTGAATCACACTTGCCTAGTGAATGCCTGGATATTGTGGAAGGGATTGTATTGTAAACAGGCAAAAATTATGTTGTAAGCAACTTCCCCTGGAGAAGTAGAGAAAGTATCATTCCTCAAACTGGCCAACGAGAAAGGCGATGAGGGGGAGAAAGAGAAGAGGTGATACTATCAACCTTTCTAAGGATGCCAAACCCTCCATTCTTCTAAGTAATTGCTATGCAGTTTCCTTTAATGAAGATTTATTTATTAGTACCCCATATTTTTAAAAGGTTGGTTAAGCTCTCTGGAAACTAACTGATGGCCTCCATTCAGCACTTTGGGATTAGCTGCAAACCAACTGCTCAAATTGAGTTTCATTAAAAGCCTTATATGCTTAAGTTAAGAGATTAGCATTCTTCACTGCAGTAAAGGGGATGCAGAGTGACTTCCATTAAAGTAGCTCTGAGAGGCCTCAATCACCATTACAACCCTAGGCCAACAAAAATTGTGGGTTCCCACCTCAATTTAAGATAAGCTGTGACAAGTGACCATCAAGCAAACTACAAGAAATGCTCACAAGAATCTCTGGCACCATAGGGAAGCTGTACAGTTATTCCCACAAATCATATATTAGAGTACCTCAAACTTTTGCAGCACAAAGAAAGGGTTATAGAAAGCCATGTTATTCAATACTTGCAGAAAGTGACCCAAAAGAATAAAATATGCATTCAGCCTTTCTGGAAACCAACTCTATTCCAGAAAATTACAGAATGCAGTGTTGAATGCTCTTGCAGAGTTTGAATGTACCCTCTCATTCTATAAGTTAGAAATCACTTCAAGAGTTCACTTGTACATCCATAGTCCTCTGGGGGCAAGGGACAGTCCACAGGAACTGGGGGCAGAGATTTCATTTGAGCATGCATCTGATGCTGTTTCTTTCAGTTGATTATGCCCTACATCTGTAGAGAAGACACCAGGGGAGGACTGGCAATCAAAATAGGCCCGGGAAATGGATTGAGAACAGCCCACTTTATCTCAAAGAATTTTTTAAAAATTTACTCTTTGACCCCATTAGCCACACCCCTGGCCCGTTAACCACGCCCCTGACTCCCATTAGCCAGGCCTCTGGAGGTAACACACTCAGGGCAAGATGGACACATGACCAGAAGTAAAAGGTGTTATGTGACCCCTCTCTAAGGACTTTTCCCAACATCTTCCTACCAATATGGATTAGTTTGGCCCCCCACCAAACTTCCCTCATGCAACTATCCTGCAATTGCATTAACCCAATGTGTGTGATATTAACTCGGGGGCGGAGAGGTTGGGGGAAGTGTTCCCTCTAAGAGTTTCCTCCCATGAGCAGAATGAATTTTGTGTTGTGCACCAGTACTGAGTTTGTGGCTTATCTGGATGTGCCACTGTGGCACCCAAGTTATTAATAAATCTCTTATAAACCTCTACCTTTTCCCTCTGCTGCCATGTCTCCTCCCCTTGCTCCATCAGCTCCCCGGTGCCTGCTGCCCCCCAACCCCTCACCCTCCTCTACTGTCCTGACTCCTGCCCTTCTCACTGCCCTCAGCCCTCCTGCAACCTCCCCTCCTCCACCAGCCCCTCTCCCCGTGCCCACTCCTCCAGTAGCCCCACTCTGATCATGTGAGGTACCCCTCCTCATCCCCTCTCCTAACACCTCCCTCTACACACCCGCTGGAGTCTGTGATCGGGCCCCAGAAGTCCTCGCAGCCCTGGCCCCAGCTGCTTCAGGGGCTCCAGAACAGAAGCTGGGCCGTGCAGTGCAACTCTGGGCCAGGCAGTTTTAAAGCCCCGGGTGTGATGTCACACCACGCCCGGGTGTCTCCCCTCTCAGCTGCTGCGCAGCGTTTGAGCATGCCATGCATGCGCTCCCTTGGCCCCAAAGTGCCCCGTACATGGCCAGCTCTGGGGAATTTAAAATGCAGGGCTGCAGTGCCCTGTCACAATCCCCCTCCTCCTCTAGCAGCCACCAGCTGGTCCTCAGAGAACGGCCCCCCGGGAAATTCCTGATATCCCACCATGCCAGTCCACTCCTGGAAGACACTCAACTGTTATGGGACTGAGTGTGTAGCTAGACCTGTAGTAACTGAAGAATGAACCCAAGCAGCACTTGACAATTCAGAGGACGTAATGAATTGTCATTTGTTAAACTTCCAAAACAGGCTACTTCCATGGTTCCAAACTATTTTAGAAAATAAGTGGGACAATTGCCTGCTAGTATACTGAAGACAAAAAAATCCTCTTCCCTACAGAATGCCAATGTGAACTCCACACAGAGATTGATGACAGGTTTGTTTTAAGGAGAGAGAAACAATCTGAAGAGAGCACATATGCTCCACCAAGGCAGAAGTGTGCACGCAAGATTGCAAATTAGGAGCAAGGAAATGGTCCAAGCATTTTGAGCATAACGGATTTTAAATATGCATAGCGTAATGACACCTGTGAAGCAATCCTACTGTCTGGGTTTCTAAAAAAAACAAATGTAAAAAAGATTTTTTTTTAAAGAGATAAGCATGGAAGGAGAAACAAAAAAAGGGAGAGTTTTAATAAAAGTTAGCAAAATGTGTCTAGCTCCAAAAACATGAAAGTTGTAATTTAAGAATATTGAGTGCTAGCCTACTTTTGCTCCAATTGATTTAAGACAATGTTGAGTACATTTGAGGGTCCCAGCTTAGGTGTGCATCACTAGAGGTTGGGAACAATCTAAAGCTCTGGTCCTGAGATTGGCTCTACACAGGCAAACCCCCTGCTCCCCAGTAGAACCCCACTGATTTAAATAGAGCTGTGCACAGTTCTCTCTGCAGAAACAGGGTCTAAGAATATATATCCACTAACAGTGGTGCTCAGACTCCATGTCAGTAAAGGGCAACTAAGGTTAGTGAGTGTGGCCCATGAGTGGCCCTTCATCTCAGTGGACTGCAAGATTGAAATCGGGCATGTGCACTAAGCATGACCCTAAGAATAAGATTAAATACATTGCACTTGATCCTCCTTCTTTATCCATGCCTTTCAAACACGAAGTGATCCACTAAGGGCAAATTAAATTACCAGCAAAAGTAACAAGCAGAGGGAGCACACAACTTACAATTTTGTGTGTGCAATCACAAGCACCTCACACATGCCCTTGCTTTAAATGGTGTCTCACTACTCATTTTGCTAGGGGTTGCTCAATTCTCCCCTCTGCTGCAGGATCCGCCTCCATTCCACCCTTCCCTCAAACCGCCACCTGGCTTCTTCCCTGACTCCTCCCCTGGACATGCCCCATCCCTCCAAGCATTTCCAGAACAACATGAATAAGTTGATTCACATCCCATCCTTGCTCCTCCTCCTCCTCAGACTCTGAATGCCACAAGTCAGTTGATTTGCAGCATTCAAAGCTTTGGGAAGAAGGGGGAGGATCGAAGATGGGTGATTCATAGCACTCTGAAAGTGCTGGGATGGAGGAGAAGGAGTAGGTAAGTGCAGGAACCCAGAACATGAAAGACTCAGTGGAAGAGGGCAGAGGGGAGGTGCATGGGCCTCACATAGAACCCTGATGGGCTGCATATGGCCCGCCAGCTGCAAGTTAGCCCACCACTGCTCCAAACTGCCAAAAAGGCTTTTTAGTCATGTCTTTCACAGTCTTAGTGGCAAACAATTTGTGATGATTTTAATGATTACTATTCTAGTCCAAAGAGTTCAAACCTTGAAGTCCTCCCAGAATCTGTCCATAAAGCCTGAGGGATTGTATTATAGAACATTTGTCCTTTCCGATGCCTGTATTTTTCCTGGTCTGCTTCAGTAGTTTAGAAAAGGCTAGCTGTTCATGCTGCTCCACTGTTTTCAATATGAAATACCTACTCACATACAATGAAAAGAGAAAAACAATTATAACTCAGTTTTAACTAGAGAAAAAAAGTTGGCAAACTAGGCAGGAAATGCTTGATTTGATTTTTTTTTAAGTGAGTGGAAATATTTTTTTAAAACCATTCCAGAGTCTCAGTAAAAAAATACAGCTTTGAATTGTGGATCAAATTCTGATGTTACACCTGTGTAAACCCACAGTAATTGTATTCACTAGTATTGTTTTATGGCATAGCAAGAGTTCAGAATTTAAAAAAAAAATCACATTTTTACTTCAATCAATTATTTGCACTGATCTAGACCCAACATCACATTTCAGAAAGGTCACTTCTGCGTTGTGCCAAAACTAGAAGTGACTGCATAGAGCTGAAACATTCTTTAATTTCTCACTACACAGGTGTTTCATTTTGAATACTAATCTGTAGACTTGATCCTGGAAGTAACTGAACTCACATTAGTAATGACAGCAAAGCAAATATTTTATACTGGATCAGATACTATAGAAAATATCACTTAATCCTGCAAAGATTTATGCACATGCTTAATTTTAAAAATTGTGAGTAGTCTCATGGAAGTCTCTGCTGGATGGGGTGTTAGTGAAAACTCAAGGGTTGTTTGAACTTTTACTCCGCTTGTAATATGCTCCTAATTTGGTTACCAGGAAGTTTTAGGGATTATTTAAAATGTTGCTTAACAGACAATCAGCTCTGCCTTCTACCTTTGTAAATCAAAGGAATGTAAATCAACATGAAAGAGAAACAGGAAGATGGACTAAAAATAATTAACCTAAAATCAGATACTCCACCTGATATACTATTTATTATAGCACAGTAAACAGGATAATATTTCAAAATAACCCAGTTCTGAATGTTTCCTCAAACAAAAAAAGTGTTAGAAATGAAGGAAGGACAAATATTGGTACACTTTTGAATAAAGTCACTTAGAGTATGTCTACACAGGGGTACAATGTTTACGGCTGGCCCAGATTATTTGAGTTGGACTCTAGGGCTGAAAAATAATCTAGATTTGGGGACTTTGACTGGAGCCTGAGCTCTAAGACAGTACAAGGGGGAGGATCCCAGCACTCATTCTCCAGCAGGAGACTGAACATCTATTTACACAGCTGTTTTTTGCACTACAACCCAAGTCCACAAGTCTGAGAGACAGGTGACGTAGTTCAACCAGATCTTTAATCCTTACGTAGATACACAAAACTCAAAGAGCTCAGCGTGAGTCTTTTAATTTACTTCACTTGACTTTGGATCAGTGCTTAACTGCTTTGCAGAATTGCATCCTTAATTTTTAGCCTTCTGACAGATCAAAGATGCATAACAGTGACCAAGGAATGTACAGTACATCCTATTGTGACATCATTTAATTCCAATGTGTTTCAAGTTATTACACACAAATTCATTTACACTATAAATAGAGTAATGCTGTCTTTATTTTGCAATCTTATAAAAGACTGTATATAGTTTATGTTTTTGGCAAAACATTTAAGTCTCAATACTCTAATATTTTGATGCATTTTGTAATTAATGTTAATATTCTTTTGTGTTTTTGTTGATTCTGGTGCAGAAAGAAAACTGGTAAAAATCTAGGAATGGAATTTTTTAAAATGGCAGCAACAGAGAAAATACAAAACTTGCCTTGCACAGAACAGTTATGATTTTCTTTAGTAAAAACTAAGGCAAACCTGACTATTTTAAAAGAAACGATACTATTTACCAGATAATTTTAGTCAAAATCAAACCAACATGAATTGAAACAGTTACTTTAAAGCTTGAGTAAATGTTTATCTTAATGCTTTTGTCAATGCACATCCCTAATCAGAGTCAAATTATCATCTGGTAACATAATTGACCCCACACAGCATGTGGTCAGGAAGAATCACTGATTTAATGTCTAAATATTCTGGAGTTATTTTTAATGTAGTTTTATACCGAGAAATAATATATATTTATACAAAAGGAAGAATAAGTCAATACGTATGATTAGGGCTCGCCAAGCTGCAGCAAACCCCGCTCGTCAGCTACGCTGTCCAGCGATCTGCACATGCGCAGATCGCCCGAACCTGGCTCTTCCGGGTTGTAATCTACTCGCTAGTCCTTGTTTCCAATGTCTTTTTAGAATATTAATCTCAAGTTAAGACAAATAAAATATAATTCAATATCAACATAATTAAATTAAAATTCTAAGTTATGAAATTAGGGTAAGCAAGTAATGATGGAAAGAGCGGGGAGGGAAGTTTAATTGCTCATGACACTAATCAATATTATATTAACTTTCAACTATGGTTTATTTGCATAAGAACATAATGGCCATGCTTGGTCAGACCAATGGTCCGTCTAGCCCAGTATCCTGTCTGCCGACAGTAGCCAATACCAGATGCCCCAGAGGGAGGGAACACAACAGGTAATTATCATGTGATCCCTCTCCTGTCATTTATTTCCAGCCTCTGACAAACAGAAGCTAGGGATACTATTCCTACCAATCCTGGCTAATAGCCATTGCTGGACTTAACCTCCATGAATTTATCTAGTTCTTTTTTGAACCCTCTTAAAGTTCTAGCCTTCATCACATCCTCTGGCAAAGAGTTCTACATGTTGACTGTGCATTGCATGAAGTAGTACTTCCTTTTGTTCATTTTAAACCTGCTACCTATGTGTTTCATTTGGTCATCCCTAGTTCTTATGTTGTGTGAACAAGTAAATAACTTTTCCTTATTCACTTTTTCCACATCAATCAGGATTTTATAGACCTCTACCATATCCCCCCTTAGTCTCCTCTTTTCTAAGATGAAAAGTCCAAGTCTTTTTAATCTCTCTTCACATGGGACCCATTCCAAACCCCTAATCATTTTGTTGCCCTTTTTTGAACCTTTGCAGTGTATACCTAGTGTGCTCAGTATTTAAAATGGGACTGTAATTGGGAACAATATTAATGTTTAGAAACTGACAGGAGAAAAAGAAATACCAAGTTAAGAATTTACATTAGCAGAATACAAGGACTGTATCTCATAAGACTCAGCAAGGAGTCCTGTAATAGTTTTGATATAAATATTGATTATGGTTGTGAAAGTAACCAACATGACAGAAAAGTAATATTAAAAAAAGAGGAAATTATTTAAATTAAGATTTTTGTCTTTCACTACTTAGCTTGTGAAAAATGAAATATGAGTAAACTACTAGCCAACACACACTAACTGTTCTTGAGCCGTCAGTTTACCCTGTGCACTAAACACCAAGACAGAATAAGAATCTGAGCAAAAAAGGCTGATAAGGTTTTGGCAAGCATTAAAGTATATTTATTGATTTATCTGTTTGGTATGCAGGGAATAGAAGTAGTGTGGGAAATCTTTTCAGTAAGTTACAACTAGGGGCATAGGCGTGCGCAGCACATTTCATTAGGCTGTGCACCCAAAGAATTTTTTTTAAATATACTCTTTGACCCCCATTAGCCACACCCCGACCCCCATTAGCCACGCCTCTGGAGATAACACTCTCGGTGCAATATGGACACATGACCAGAAGTAAAAGGTGTCATGTAACCCTCCCCCCCAAAGGACTTTTCCCACTATACTCCTACCAATAGGGATTAGTTTAGCCCTCAGCAAACTCCCCTCATGCAACTATCCTGCAATTGCATTAACCCAATGTGTGTGACATTAACTCGGGGGGCAGAGAGGCTGGGGGAAGTGTTTTCTCTAAGAGTCTCCTCCCATGAGCAGAATAAATGTTATGTTGTGCACCAGTACTGAGTTTGTGGCTTGTTTGGATGTGCCACTGTGGCACCCAAGTTATTAATAAATATCTTATAAACCTCTACCCTTTCCCTCTGCTGCCATGTCTCCTCCCCTTGCTCCATCAGCTCCCCGGTGCCTGGTGGTCCCTCCCCTGCAGGTGTCTGCCCTTCTGCTTCACCCCCAGAATCCCCTGGCACCTGCACCTCCCTTACCCCTGCACCCTCCTGGTGCCTTCCCCTTCCCTCACTGCCCTTGCCCCCTTTGCCCTCTTTTTCATTACCACCCTCTGCCCATCCCCTTACTGCCCTCTGCCCCTGTTCCCCCACACATGTCTTGCTTCATCCCCGCCTTCCTCTTGCCCACCCCTTCTTTCAAGCCTTCTCCTGGCACCTCCCCTTCTCCCCTCTAGCCTCCAAAGCCGTTACCCTCTCCTCTCCCAGCATTATCCTGTCCCCGCCTCACTGACACATCTCCCCTCCTGCTCTTTTCCTCATTGTCTCCACTTGGCCCCCTGGCATTTGTCTCTCCTCCACCCTGTCCATTGGTGCCTTCCCCTTTCTTCTCCTGACTTGCCCTCCTCCCCTCAGCACAAACCCCTTCATCTCCGACCCTTTCCCCCTATTTTATCCCTCCTCCTCCAGCAGCCGCCATCTGGTCTGTAACAGAGTTCTAGGGTCGCCCTGACTTTCACCCTTCTGGTGCTCCCCCTACTCCAGCAGTCTCCAACCTTTTTACACCCAAGATCACTTTTTAAATGACAGAACAAACCAAGATATACCACCCCGCCCTCTCTATTCTCCTGCTCTCCATCACTTGCTACCCCAATCCTTATACTGCTGTTTCCCCCCCCCCCCCCCCCACTTTCTTCCCTTATTTATTCTTGGATCTGAACTTCTTATACTCCAGTCATCTGAAGACGTGGGTTGTGCCCACGCACACTCATGATGCCATCTATGTGTTTTGTTAGTCTTTAAGGTGCTAGTAGACTATTTGTTATCTTTACTATAGGCATTTTTGGCTTTAGAACTTATTTCTACAGACTATTCATCTCTATAGTGACAGCAGTGACTCTCAGAGAGAACTAATCTATTCACTGCTGTATATGTCAGGAGTGAGCCCCTTCTTAATACACAGTATCATCATGGACTTAGTTTTTCTTTTGCAGGTTGCCTGTGTGACTGTTGTAAAAACTCTGCATCTATGGAACGTTTTCCATCGATTACTTGGGGGCACAAAAACAGTGTCCTGGGGTGTAGCCCAGGATTACAATGTGCAGGGTACAAAGAGGTTTAGATATCAAGAAATGGAATCTAATTTAATATCACCAGAACTAATCCAAACCCAAGAGAATCACATGATCAGTGCTCAGCGGGGATGCAGAGTAGACCAGCAGACCTGATTAACTGCCGTATTTAGTGTATTTAAAACAATGGGGAACAAGGCTTTTTATACCTTTGTCTAGAAAATACTGTTCTTACCAAGCGTGAGATTCAGATGGGTCTATGATTACACCTTGAGCCCTTTGTATTTAGTGATTCCAACTTAAATTTGAATTCACAGAGTGACTCCTACTTCTACGCTCCCATTCTATTGATGTGCAAAAAGGAGTTTACTTCAAAAGCACCCCAGAAGCCACAGAAGACCACAATTTCTGGGAGAATTAATCTCTAAAATATTGTGCATTGGTCCCTTGAAAAATAGTTTGATAATTATTTAATTGACACAGGAATGGCTTCCAGTCACAATTGTGGGATTTCTTCTGAAAGTCCTCTCAAATCAGGAAACAAGTCTGCCTTTTTATCTCCAAAGAACGTGAAATACATTTCCAAATATTAAACAGTGAAAACCACCTGCACTACTTCTTCAGCCTTACCCATCTGAAACCCAGTTCTAATTCTATCGATAAATGGATCCATCCTGGTGAGAAAGCAGATGTAGGGCTGCTCATCGAGGGTAGAGGGAAATTAGGAGATGATGGGGAGGGCAAGAAGGCCAAAGAAGGAGAGACCCTGAGGAAATGAGGGGTCACCCACGAAGTGTGGAGAGAGCCCCTGAGTATCACAATGATGATGTTTCCTTGCAGAACACCAGCGGGGGTAGGTGGGAAGGACGTGGAACAGTGCCAGCACTGCAGCAGGGAATGCTTGCAAAACACCCCTCCCCCGGTCTCACAAACACCCCAACTTACCTGCTCTCACATGCAGTAGAGTTCCATTGCAAGAGCCATTGCTGGACACAACACTCAGGGCATGACTGCAACACATGCAGGCATAGCCAAGCCTGCTTTGATCTAGCTAGCTCGAATACCAATGCAAAGCCAAGGCAGCACAGGGCTAGTCGTGCCAGTATAGATCTCAGTTCTCAAAGGGGGCTGCTCATGTGGAGGGGTTCCCTACTGCCATTGGTATTGGAGCTAGTGGAATTAAAGCTACCCTACGGCCATCACACCTCCCATTGCAGTGCAAACACACCTGCAGGGCTGTGTTCCCAGACTGTCTGCGTGGCGAGTGTTTGTGAAGTTGTCAGCATTTTGCAGGATTTGAAATGGAAACTTTTGCAAAATATTTATGAGACTCCAGGTCTCTTAATCCATCTCTATATTTTAGAAATGTCTGTCAGTCTGTCTGTGAGCCCATTTGTTCAAGAACTCCTCCTAAACAATAAGAGCTAGGACCACCAAATTTGGGACAGGTGCCTGCCCTTCTGCTTCACCCCCAGAATCCCCTGGCACCTGCACCTCCCTTACCCCTGCACCCTCCTGGTGCCTTCCCCTTCCCTCACTGCCCTTGCCCCCTTTGCCCTCTTTTTCATTACCACCCTCTGCCCATCCCCTTACTGCCCTCTGCCCCTGTTCCCCCACACATGTCTTGCTTCATCCCCGCCTTCCTCTTGCCCACCCCTTCTTTCAAGCCTTCTCCTGGCACCTCCCCTTCTCCCCTCTAGCCTCCAAAGCCGTTACCCTCTCCTCTCCCAGCATTATCCTGTCCCCGCCTCACTGACACATCTCCCCTCCTGCTCTTTTCCTCATTGTCTCCACTTGGCCCCCTGGCATTTGTCTCTCCTCCACCCTGTCCATTGGTGCCTTCCCCTTTCTTCTCCTGACTTGCCCTCCTCCCCTCAGCACAAACCCCTTCATCTCCGACCCTTTCCCCCTATTTTATCCCTCCTCCTCCAGCAGCCGCCATCTGGTCTGTAACAGAGTTCTAGGGTCGCCCTGACTTTCACCCTTCTGGTGCTCCCCCTACTCCAGCAGTCTCCAACCTTTTTACACCCAAGATCACTTTTTAAATGACAGAACAAACCAAGATATACCACCCCGCCCTCTCTATTCTCCTGCTCTCCATCACTTGCTACCCCAATCCTTATACTGCTGTTTCCCCCCCCCCCCCCCCCACTTTCTTCCCTTATTTATTCTTGGATCTGAACTTCTTATACTCCAGTCATCTGAAGACGTGGGTTGTGCCCACGCACACTCATGATGCCATCTATGTGTTTTGTTAGTCTTTAAGGTGCTAGTAGACTATTTGTTATCTTTACTATAGGCATTTTTGGCTTTAGAACTTATTTCTACAGACTATTCATCTCTATAGTGACAGCAGTGACTCTCAGAGAGAACTAATCTATTCACTGCTGTATATGTCAGGAGTGAGCCCCTTCTTAATACACAGTATCATCATGGACTTAGTTTTTCTTTTGCAGGTTGCCTGTGTGACTGTTGTAAAAACTCTGCATCTATGGAACGTTTTCCATCGATTACTTGGGGGCACAAAAACAGTGTCCTGGGGTGTAGCCCAGGATTACAATGTGCAGGGTACAAAGAGGTTTAGATATCAAGAAATGGAATCTAATTTAATATCACCAGAACTAATCCAAACCCAAGAGAATCACATGATCAGTGCTCAGCGGGGATGCAGAGTAGACCAGCAGACCTGATTAACTGCCGTATTTAGTGTATTTAAAACAATGGGGAACAAGGCTTTTTATACCTTTGTCTAGAAAATACTGTTCTTACCAAGCGTGAGATTCAGATGGGTCTATGATTCAGAGGAGAGGGAATGGGGGCAAGAGGGTGGGGACAGAATTTGGGGGCAGGGAGTCCCCTACACCAGCCTCGGAGGGAAGCCTCCACCATGCGCTGCCCCCCGCGGAGGAAGGAAGCCCCATTGAGCACTCCTTCCTCCCTCCCGCCAAGCAGGGAAGCCGTGCACACGACCCCTTGGGGCCAACCCCCCCTCCCGCGGAGCAGGGAAGCACGCGCACATGGCCCCTCTGGGCACAACCCCACTGGGGCACCCCCCCACCCCCCCCCCCCCGGGCCCAGCCATGCTGCACCCAATCCCCTACCCAGGGCACCCCCACCTCTCCTTCTCTTTCCTCCCCCCCACCCGGGGTTTAAATTCACTGTGCTTGACGGGGTGACATTGCTGCGTCCCTGACACCTCTTTCCGTGGGGTCCTAAGACCCGCCGGTTTTGACCGCACAGCAGTGCATGCGCGGCAAACCCAGAGCGGCGCCCATTCCCCAGAGCGCCGAAGCGGCACTCCTTCTAGTGCAGGGGCTCGCGAAACATTTGGGTGTGCCTGTGCGCACCTGGCACACCCACGATTAGGAGGCTGTGTCCCCTGCTCTCTGCATTCACCAATCCCCCTCTCGTTGGAGTTTAGGCAACCTTGGCTCTCCCCTTGGCCACTGGGACCCAGGCCCCTTCCTCCACCCCCTAGCCCAGGGTCTCCACTCCCCCACCAAACCCCGCTGCCCCAGCCCAGGTTCCCCCTTTTCCCTCCTCCCCCCTGCCCTTCCCCACCATCCCAGACCCTTCTCCTTCCCCCCTCCATAAGCCAGGGTCCCTTCTCTCCCCACAAACTAGGGTCCTTTCTCCCTCTGCTGGCCACCCCACACCCTCTCTCTCCCCCCCGCCCAACA